GCAATATTCATTGCCTTATAGAAGCTCAGTTTTAGTAAGTTTTCCAACTTTTGCCAAGAGGGAACTTTAGATATTGGTCCCTAGATTATGTTCACCGAGTTTCATGCAAATCTGTCAAACTTCCTAGGAAGAGATCGATTTTAAGTGTTTTTCAAAAAAATCAAAATGGCGGAAAATCTGTATAACCGGAAGTTAAGGTTTCTTGAGGCAAATTTGTTCCTCATGAGGAGAGGCATCTCTGTGCAAAGTTTCATGTCTCTACCACATACGGGGCATGAGATATGCCCATTCAAAGTTTGCAATTTCAGTCGGTTGCTATAGTGCCCCCCTTTGGCCAATTGATGTAATATTGCTTCATTCGCATCCTCCCATGACCCTCTACCACTGTGCCAAATTTCACATGGATTGACCAAGTCAGTGAGGAGAAAAACGTGGAACAGACACACACACACAGACAGAGTTTTCGTCATTATATAGTAAGATACTGTGGAGGAATTGTCGGTTACTGTTTGCAAACTCATTTAAACTTGGTCCCCCCCCCTACACTGTTTGTATGTACATAACAAGCTACTTTATTTTGTAGGAATGTTACATTTGTCTAAATAGAAATTCCGATACTTTAGAAAGCTAACTAAGCTAACCGCTGGCATCTACTTGTCCAGCAGAAAACAGGCCAACAGGCCTCTTCTTCAGTGCTCGCCAGCAAAAGTAAAAGATAAAGCAACCCCGGCTTTGTCTGCTTGGTGTTTTGCCTTGCTATATTTGCAGTTTTTCGGCACTGTGTCTCTGATTTTTGTAGCCTCCTCTTGGACACGTGCGGCTTACGTTCTGGTACCTGGTGGCTTTCTTTTTATTAAGTGACCTCAACAGAAAGCTGTACCCATAACGTCCTGAACATAGCAAAATAGGAAAAAAATTAGTAAATACAGGCAGAGGGCAGAGTGTCTGCCGATGAATACACTGCCACATACTTCTAGTGATGAATGAGAGGGATTACTTTTGTATAAGTATGTACATCTTTAAAATTAAGTATAGTTTAGTGGACTTTATAGCTGTTTTTTGTTTTTTATATGCTGCCGTTTTGAATCTTTGAGTCTTACTCACATATATTTGTTGCTGTTTATAGTTCTTATTAAAGCTAATTCAATTTAAGTGTTAATTGCCGTTATATTCGCTGTTCGTCTGCAGAAACTCATTATTGTCCGGGCTCTTGTTACAAGCAGTTACCACAGTGCTTTACTTTGGCAGAGTGAGAGAGCCGATTCACTTACTGCCATAATACCATTCCTCACTAAATAAATGAGTTGTGCATCAAAAACAACAACTATTTATGAGTTCTTGTCTCCTTTTCTTTCTGTGCAGATAGAGAACCTCCAGGATCAGCTGAGGGATAAAGAGAAACAGCTGGGCGGCCTGAAAGACAGAGTCAAGTCTTTACAGACAGACACCTCCAACACCGACACAGCACTGGGAACACTGGAGGAGGCTCTGGCTGAGAAGGTACACACACACACACACACACACACATACACACATACACACACATAACGGTGGTCAACCTCAGGTCAGCTCCAGAGCAAGGTTACATTAATAAAACCACTATGAGCAAAACAGCCGACCACCCACACCATGACCAAATGACTCTGGATAAATGGAAATGAACCAATAATCACATTGGCTGTTTCATTATTAAATCATTCACAGCCTGCGTTCATAAAAGATTAAGACCCATCCAGCGCGCGTGCACGTCTCGCACCGATGGGTGCAGAACAAACAAGCACACGGTCACTGTTTTGGTGAACATTCAGGTGCCACAGCCATAAAACAGCCCTGAACCACCTGAGCATGGGAATGAAACCCTCAACCGCCCCTTTGATGATCTGTTATTGTACACTCAGGACCTGACCCTGATTCTGGGAAACCGACCAGTGACACTTACACCAGCGCACCGCTTCAAAGTGTTTGATGAGGATATATTTTTGTACTGTAATGCGCGATTTTGTTACCGACTCCATCGCCTTCGCACGCACGCACACACAGGAAACGGGGCTATTAATTGTCCAGTGACTAATATTCAGGGTGTCAGCTAGATGTGTGAGTGTTGGCAGGCAGAGGTGGCCGACGACTTAAAATGACTTTCACAAGGTTTTCTTTTCTCCGTCTTCATTGTTTTGGTGCCCTTGGATATCTGTCCTTTCTTCCTGTCTGTTTTTTTTTTTTTTTTTCATTTTTCCATCCACCTCTTGCTGTTTTTTATGTCATTACTCCCTCTCTCTGTCACACACACATTGTTCTACACCGTGTTATGTTTCAAAGCAGAACAGGAATAAGTTTTGTTAACTTTTTTTTTACCCTGTGTTAAGTTTTAATTCATGCTTGTAGTTTCGTCTTCGCAAACAGTATAGATAATCCTAATATCTGTTTTAATTAGGGATGGGCAACACAAGCAAAAACGAAAATCGTGGCAAGTATTCGACAATTTTTCGAATAATTGCCCGCCCCCCCGAGCCACGCACACAGAGATCCATTCATCTTTAAAGGCCCGAACATACTTGGCCAGAACGGACTCCACGGAGGTCCGCGCGGACTCAAAGCGGACGTCCGCAAGCCCTGTGCGAACACACCAGTGACTGCTCGGCATGTATTTTTCACATCGCGGGGATTTTTCACAGACATTTTTACAGGAAACTACAACGCGGAAGTGCGCTCAACTATGAAAGCCCGAATGACTGCGGACATACCTCACGGAATAGTAGTCTCTGCATGTTTCTCCTGTTTGTAGAAGAGCATCTCACACCGCTGTAGCAAACCTAGACTGCCCTCGTGCGGTTAGGAGCTGAATTACATGTCAAATAAAGGGGGGGAAATAAGACGGCGAATAGTAATAGTCGCATTAAAAAATCGATTTTTCAAAAATAAAACGACTATTCGAAAATCGAAAATCGTGACCCATCCCTAGTTTTAATGTCTGGATGATGCATTCAAGCCCCTAACCCTGTCTTTAACCATCAAAACTACATCCCGAAACCTTTTCCCAATCTTAATCTTAAGGGGACAGTTCACCCCAAAATCACAAACAGATATTTGTTCATTTATCTGTAGTGCTAATTTTCAGTCTAGATTGTTTTGGTATTAGTTGTCAAGTGTTGGGAGATAACGGTCGTAGAGATGTCTTCCTTCTCGTTTAACATAATGTAACTAGGTGTCTTTCCAGAAATCATGACCCGGTTACTCAACATAATCCACAGACCTTGTTGTGAGCAGTTTCATGTAGGAGCTATTTTCTTTCTACCAAACTACACCCACTAACCATATCACCACGCAGAAGGAAGCTTGCATCTAATGCTAGCTCACCTAGCACCACTGAGCTAGCTAACATTACAGCTCAGCTGAGGAGGACGCCATTAATGTTTACATCTTGAGCTGCTGTGACCATGAGACTCTCGTCCATTAACTTTATTTATATAGCACCTTTCATACAAACATGCAGCCCAAAGTGCTCCACATGGCAAAATTAGAATGACACAGACACAAGACAATGAAATATTAAAAAAACAAACCAACCAAAACAGAAAAAAAAATAATTAAACAGATGAACAAAACTCCATAGAGATAGATAAAATAGAATAAAATGAACAGGAGAGATAAAAGAAGGTAAAAATCAGTGGTTGAAACTTAAAAATCACTCACTGAACTGATACACGGCTGAACGATTCATGATTCAGTTCAGTTCACGGCTTCCAGGAGTGCTGAGTCTCATTACTGGCCAGTCTTACATTTTAAGTTTGTTTATCTGGAAACTAAGTCTGTTAAAGCAATGGGGAGGTGTGTGATTGTGTTCATGTGGCTTGACTCCTGGCTACATTTAGCCGATAGCTTTGAGAAAACAGTCCCTATGAAAGTGTATCGCTGAGAAGAAATGATTTGAATCACTCAGGGATCGGGGTTACGTCATTCACCAAGTGATTTGTCATGCGGGAGGCAGTCCCTCCCTGCACCCTGGCTGCCTTGCGACTCATGAGTGATTCATTGTCCGCAAGGACCGAATCGGCAGTTCCACTCCCGGCCTGCATGCTCGCTGCTGAGCTCAACTAAACTGAGAAATGAACAAATCAGTTCCGGAAGTGATTCAGTTCAGTACGTTCGCTCAACAGATTTGTTCTTTTGAACGATTCGTTCACGAACGACACAACACTAATTGGTACCATCCTCTCGAATGTCTGGCTTAATCACTTGCCTGGGTCCAGACTTTTGAATCCGTCCACTCCACTGAGTTAACTGAGGATAGAAACTACAAATCTTCAATTACAAATCTGCCTGATATCAGGCAGTTATATCATTTTACAGTACAGCAAATATATTCAGGTTTAAGACAGATGTTTGGATATGATAATCAATTTGAAGATGTTAGCTTGAGCTCTGGGATATTGTGATGGCCAACAGACCCAACAATTAATCAATTAGTTAAGGAAATAATTGATATTAGCTGTAACCCTAAACCAAGTCTTAACCCTGAAACAGCTTTTTAAAGACGTGAGGTCGAACAAAAAATATCCTCACTTTCCAAAAAAAATTGTTTTCACTCTCCAGTCCTCACTAAGATGGGACTCCAGCACAGGGACACACAGCACAGCCAGGTTACACTCTCTGGGCTTTTTGTGGTCCTTTCGTGTGTGTGAACTTTTATACTTTTGCTTGCACTGGCCGCTGCGTTGTTCTATAGCTGGAGAGTGTCTATAGTGTTTTAGTAGTTGTGAATATTACATCTTTTGCCAGAACATATTACGTGTCTAAAATCACTGCTGGCTGTTAGATCCTGTCAGAGCTGCCATGTACATAAAGTTTAATGCGACTGTTATTAGTATAGAAACTTGATATTGAGTGACTGTGAATAACTCTTGGAGCGTTGACTACCTCTCTCTCCCCTCTTCTTTCCCTCTCTTGACTCTCTCTTTTCTCTCATCCTCCTCCTTCATGTCCAGGAGCGAATCATCGAGCGGTTGAAGGAGCAGCGGGAGAGAGAGGAGAAAGAAAAAGGGGATGAGATGGAGTCCAGCAAGAAGGAGCTGAAGGAGTTGAGGGAGAAAGTCTCCCAGCTGCAGGCTGACTTGGCTGACCGTGAGGTAGAAGACACACAAACACACTCATGCGTATCTATGCTATAAGTCAGAAAAACACACTCTCCATGCGCCTGTCGAGGAGACGTGATTGATCTATCACTGTAGAACAGACCTCAGATCCTCCCAAGGTCCTCGTGCTGAAGGACAACAACGATAAAACAGTCACATTTCCTTGACAACGATATGCTTCACAACCAATGAAAACAGTGATTGGAGCTGAATTCTTCTTGCTTCGACCTCTGTGATTCATGCAGAAAGCCACAGCTGAGGCTCAGACGGAGAGACAGATGACGACATAGAATTTTTCAGCACTGTCTTTGCTTTAGTCATCCTGCAGTGGCTGGACAGCACAGTAGGAACGTTATGATTAATGATGATGATGTGAAATTTGGCAAAACAATGTATTTTAACACAAGTATCCCTTTGGGAGGCACGAGCAGGTGTAAGCCTGGTGTTTAGATGTCAGTCTTCTTATAATAAGAGTGTCCAGTCCTAGGATCTAATCGAAGATAAAACAGTGCCAAATGTAGAAAAAAACCGAACCAAACAATAAACAAATTAAGCTAAATACAATTTTATGAATCTTAAGCCAACACAAGAAAGGAAAATGCATGTACTGATGTATAAAAATAACTACTGTTATAATTAATGCTCCAGTTTTTTCATTACCAAGACAGACAAGAAATTAGCCTGCCATCAAAAAATGCCTCTGGACGCATATTGTATAGACTTACAGCCAATCAGAGCAATAAAACATATGTAATAGCACTGAACGATGGACGGATGTAAACAGCCTAGAGTGTGCATAGATGAGCTGTGGTGGTGTCGCATCAACATGTCTGTGAATGTGTGTTGCCGTTTTTGCCATCAGAGTTTGAAAATAGTAGTTCAACAGAAAATTCCACATCAACTGCAGCGTTTGTTGTTTCCTCAAAGCCGCTCCTTTTTACTGAGCTGGGTTTATGTTTTTTGTAGTGCGCACAAGCCAAAAATGTTGTCATCATATGTTTTGCATTAAGTGCAAATTAAGGTTGAGCTGAATACTCGGATAATGTACTTTTTACGAGTGTCATTATCTGTACTTGTGTTTAAGGAAAATCCTCATTTAGGTAGCAATGTTTAATCTATTACTCTTGTGATAAAATAGGATCTGAAGCTCAATTCTGGGGCTGTTCTGTAAATAGTTTTCTCACAGGTAATAAACTTCTGATTAATCCATATAATTTTCAGGCTTTCATGTAAAGACAGACTCACAGACTCACAGTACACACACTAAGAGTATGTCTTCAGTTAAGTCGAGAGAAACAGCTATGTTGTGGCGTCACAAAACTGGAAAATGTGTTTTCAGGTGCACTTTATCTTCTACATCTTAAATGAGTAGTTTGACAGATGACTTCATTTTTTTATGGATTAAACAAACCAGCTAGCTTTAGAGGTGCTGGTCGTCAGATTACTTTTGTGCATTTGGACCGAGCAATGGTAGCTGTTTCCCCCATGTGGCAAGTCTTTATGCTAAGCTAAGATAAGGGTGTAGTCATTAGAGTGGTATTGACGTCCTCTTTAAAACTCTCAGCAAGAAAGAGATTTCCCAACACAGTAAAACTCTTCCTTTAAAATGGGAAGTAAATGCCAAAAGCACACATGATCGAGTGAAAAGTCCCTTTCATGCCTTTTTTTGAGATGGACTCTTCAGCTAATTTTAGAGGGAATGTGGGGTCATAAAACCTGTAACAGTCCCATTTTATAATTTGAGATATACATGGGAAAACTCACGGGGAAAACAAGCATTCCTTTCTACACTGCTAAATGCTGATGTGGGGTTTGTCTGACAACAGCAATATATATATGTACCTAAATATAATCAGAGTAAGCAGCAAGGTTTCTCCGACCAAAGCCCAGTCAAACATGATGATCCGTAGTCTGGAGTTGGTATTGTCAGTCAAGGGTAAAATTACACGTCTGAGTGTCTCCCCTTTCTGGTCCCGTCGGTTTCTGTTTCACTGGCCCTACCAAAAGAGGAAAAGACCAGAAAAGAAAGGCAGAGAGACTTCACGGATGGAGGGATTGAGCTGGAAGAGTGAGAAAAGAGACAGGTCATGGGAAAGGGTTTTGAGGAAGAAGGGGCAGAGTCATCACACCACTGTGTAGGAAGGTCTTGAAGGACAAGTTTCATACAACTTGGATTTTATATTTGTAATATTAGCCATCATTCCTATGGGTAATAACATCATATTTACCAAGTTAATTGCTGAGAACTCAGCGAAGTTACTAAAAACGGCAGAAGCAGTTAGGTAATCTAACATGATTACAATTGAACATCTCATTTGGTCTCACCTCATTATAAAGTTAAAAGGAATTGCTTTGGTAAGTACAATGTTGTTGCCAAATATCCAAATGACACCCAAGTTGTGATTGCAAAAGTAGATCTAGAGTATACATCGTATATAGTATACACCATGTCCCAGCTGTGACACTGATCATGGCCACTCTAGACAGTGCACACGGCACAAGCACGCCTGGCAGCATTGTTCCTCTCAGCTCCCTCGCACTCAAGATGGTGGCAAATAACAAAAACTTGGATTTTTTTTTTTACCTGGCATCATGACTAACTTTAGTGGGTCGCAACATATTGGGTATGGAATAATCTACACATACTCTGTACTCAAAATTAGACCAAACTTTGTGATAGATGTCCGTTTTTGTGCCATGGTGAAGGCCAAAATGTGGTCTGCAACAGACTAGGTGGGGCTTGTTTTTACCCTAGCTGATTGCTTGAAATACCTTTTGCGACGTGCTTTTGCTACGTGATTTTGTTGATCACTTGCAAACCCTGCCGGCTGGTTGAGAGGAGTGGGGATCCAGCAGTCAATGATGGTATAAAACAGTCAGTGAAACAGGCTTTTCAATCACCGCAACCTCAAGAGGTCCTTGAGCATACAGTCTTAAATGTGCACACAAAATATTAGGCTGGTTGATCCAGTAGTTTGTGAGATTAGCTGTGGTCTGACAGATACATGCACTCATGCACACATGTCCAAACACCCAGCAGAGATAATAAAGTGGAATTATCCTTTAAAAGCAGTTCAATGACAAATGCTCTTCATGACCAAGGCACTTAACCGCCAGCCACTTCAGGAGAGCTGCTCAGTGGCTATTGAACTAAGAAGCTGAAGAGTTAGCTTCCTTTCTTATCACTCTTTGTCTTTATCTGTTTTTGTTTCAGACTTCTGTGTTGGATCTGAAGGAGAAAGCTTCCTCTCTGGCTTCCTCCACCCTGAAGAAGGACAACAGGCTGAAGAGTCTGGAGATCACCCTGGAGCAGAAGAGAGAGGAATGTGTCAAGCTCGAGAACCAACTCAAGAAGGTTAGCTGTCCTGCAGCACAGTACAGACATACCCTAACAGTCAGTAAAATGGTGATTTTAATATTACTTTTTGTCTCTTGGTGAACATTTTTTTTGTGTGAAAGTATGTGAAATAAGGTATTATTAATAGAATTGTAAAAGTAAAATGTTTGGAGCGAGAAGAGTTTTGGACAGATGAAAGAGACGATCACCTCATCAGTTTAAGAGGAACACCCATCTGTGTGGTACAAGACATAAATTTACGCAAATTAGAAGAGGATTGTATAAACAAGGATTGAATGATTAATCGCTGCTGGTTATGTTTTTGCCGTTTTCATTATAGCCTACTAGAAAATCAATGATAGCAAGTATCCCACTGTCACTATCCTCATTTATATTTAAGATGCTACAAATTCTTTCCCGCAACGAGTATAGAGTATAGACAGTTGTTGCTATGGCAGACCGTCTCGTCTAGTCGCATGTCGCATGTGGACCAAAACAGGTGGGCTAAAAAATTTTTAATATTATTTTTAAACTTAATAATGATGATCATGATAGATTGACAACATTTACCAATTAAAAAACATCAATATATGAATCTCAGTTATGAGGAATACACACAGTTCAGACACACGCAACAAATGGAGGATTTTAAACTGAAGAACCCCTCGTCTCTTTCTCCCTTGTTTTGTTTTCCCTTAACTGTTTTCCAAGAGAGACGACTGACTGACTGTGTGTGTGTGTGTGTGTGTGTGTGTGTGTGTGTGTGTGTGTGTGTGCGTTTGCATATCACATATTCTCTCCCACACAGCAGCCCATAAAATGGTGTGTGTGTGACGGCTTGCTGACAGCCTTACAGTCATTTTCACAGAGTGGAGAAGACAGCACCACCACCACACCCTGAGTGAGTGTGTGTGTGGGTGTGTGTGTGTGTGTGTGTGTGTGTGTGTGTGTGCGTGTGTGTGTGTTTGTGAGAGTATGTGTATGAAGGTGTCAGTGGATCTCTGGTGTTTCTCTCATCAAAGTTTATTTCGAAGTCTCTTTCTGTTACCGCGGATGGAAAAAAAAAGACTGAAAACCTGTCTGTGTGTGTGAATTGATTGACATTGTGCATGTGACATTGTGTGTGATGTTTCTTTTTTCCTGTCTTATTTGTCTTTCTCTGTCTCTCCCTTGCTTTCTCTTTCCTCCACCCAGATCTTCTTATATCGTCAGACACCCAAACATTTCCTCTCCGCATAAAGACCTGTAAAAACTGTTGTGCGCTTCCAAAACTAATAGGGTTTATGTATTGTGTGACCAAGACGTGCGCACACACACACACACACAAAGTCAATCTGTCCCAAGAGCAACATTTGCTTCTGGGAAACACACACAGCTGTTCTAACCTCCAAGCTGGTTCTAACTTTTTTTCTTTGTTTCATTGCATTTGATTCTTTTCTCTTCGTTTTCGGTGTTTTTCAGTGGAGCTGAGCAAAGTGGCGGAGAGAAGAAAGACACTGCAGTTCATTTGCTTTTTACTTCACTCACATTTTCATGCTCACCCTAATCTTTACATAAATCAGCATTATGTGTCTTTACATGTTGCGTGTGTGAAAACCAACTCAAACCCAAGTCACCATCATTGGCCAGACTTAAATGCTTGGCATAGCTTGGCATTAATGACTGTAATGGCCAATTTCCACCACATGCGTGTTGGTTGCGTCTGCGCTCCGGCACGGCAGCGGAGCCGATAGGATACCATTCTAGTCAATGTGTGTGTTTCCACCAGCTGCGGCTGTGCTGCGTTCCGGCTCCGTCTCAGCTCCGGCACTCTACTAGGGTGAGCCGCCTGTTAATGATGCTGTCAGCAAAGCAGTAATGATTGTGCTAAGTGGCTAATGGGCATGTAGCTACTTCCATGTTTCAGATGATACGTCATGTTTGTAGTCGACCAATGAAGATGAGTTTACATGTCACCTTGGGTTCATCCTTCACCTTCTCAAAATGATCCCACACTTTAGATTTCCTGCCCGACATGTTAATAACTAGCCTGTGGAATAACCGCAGGTACCAGCCCTGGAAATTAGGGGCCGTACACATGCAGCGTCTTAAACCGCTGAGAAAACGTGAGGTGGGGTGCTGGGTGCTACTCTTGTGCCTTTTTTGTACCAGCTTTCAAGAGCTTGCAGGTTGCATCTGAGGTTGCTAAGCAAACTAATCAAGAACCATATTCTTCCAGGCGCTGTTTATAAGTGTGTCGGGCTATTGTCTGTGGGACAGATGTAAAGCTCTGGGTAGCCCTGCACTAACATGATCAACTTTTCCGTATTTATCAGACTGAATATTTACAAAAGAAGGAAGAGATATCTGTCGGCTATGATTGGGTTGTAACCTGACTGCTGTCTGACTGCTGGGTTTGGCCACTTCCTGTGTCTGTCCTTTCAAATTAAATTCCCACATAGTTGCTGGGCATGTTAGCATGCTGATGGTAGCATTTAGCTCAAAGCACCACTGTGCCAGAGAACAGCCTCAAAGATCCGCTGGCGGGATGTTGCAGTTTTTAAAGGAGATATGCTCAGCGGTTTTCTTCAAGGGGTTGATCAGGTCAAACTGATTTTCACCATCATTTAATGCCCACACACATATAAACGTTTCATTTCCTGCTGTAAAAAGACACCACACAAAAAACAAAGGCCTCTTACGAGAAATAATTTTTAAAAGTGTGGAGACACTGCCAGAGTCCTGCATGTTTCCCTTTGCCCTTTGTTTTTATTAGCCAGGCTTGGTATTACTCTTCTAAATTACTTTTGATTTTATGACAACTGACGAGGCCTGATTATGTTAATGGTATACTGTTCAGGAACTGTCGGTTACTGTAGTGTAAACAGTATCGCCAGCAAAAGTAAAGGTCAATCCCAGATTCACTCGTGTTCGGTATATTTGTGTTTTTTCAGTGCCGTGTCCGCGGTTTTTGAAGCTTCCTCTTGGATGCGTGCTGCTCACATTCTGGCTCGTGGTTGCCACCTTTTTATAAAGTCCTGACCTCACCTGAGCGCTGTGCCCAGAAACATCCCAACCACAGCAATTTCGGAGGAGAATAAGAAAATACAGGCAGAGGGCAAAGACTCTGCAGACAAATACACCCCACAACCTTCTAGTGGGTCTAGGGATTAATTTTGTATGAGTCTGTACATCGTTATTCAGGAAAATTTTGCATAGTTTACCTTTAAATCATTTCTACTTCAAACGAGCCACACAATCTACCTTATTTCCCGAATGCAATATTTGTAAAATGAAAATCTATCATATAAAAGACAACAAATCTTGTGTCTGGTCCCTTTAAGACCTGTCACTTTCATCAGTCCATCCAGCCCTTCTTCAACACACATGTTGTTATTGGCATATCCTTTTTTATTTCGACCTTATCGCTTCCATCAAATCGTGGTCACCTAATTTTGAAAGCTAATGTTCAGTTTATTTATAATAATTACTTTCTATTCCAGGCTCAGAGTGCAGCGGCAGATTCCCAGGCCAGCACTGAACTCTCCAAACAGATCTCCACCCTGGAGCAGGAAGTGACCCGGCACAAAGAGGATGCTGGGAAAGCCCAGTCCGAGGTGGAACGACTTCTGGAGATCCTGAGGGAGATGGAGAATGAAAAGAACGACAAGGAGAGAAAGATCCACGAATTGGAGAGGTGAGGGAGCCGGATTAATCGCTGCATTAATGCAGAGCGATGACTGTGAAAAAGAATATTTAAATATAACTGCATATTCCTCTTCCTCTGTTAACCTAAATCAGTAGAAAACAACCAGGACTGTCTTTTCTTGTTGAATTGATCATTTAATTTTAGATTGGACTCCACTTTGTCGTCCATTTTCTATCAAATTTCAAGCTGTTGGAGTCTATGGTAATCTTCCCTGCGGTACTAATCCATAAGTCTTACCTTTTTCTCACCTCAAGCTTTTCCTTCTTTCTTCCCTTTTTCTCCTTCCACATCGGTTTAATTTCCTCTGGGATCACTCATCTTTTCTTATTTCTATCATTGTACCTTATTCACATTTGTGTATGCATAATATATATGCATCCATGTGACTCTGCATCTGCGTGAGTGCGTTTATGTTCGATTGTGTGTGTGTATGCGGCCATCACACCCCAGAACTCCCTCTTCTTCTCATCTGTGGCGTCCTCAGCAGTCGCGAAAACAGGCCCCTCCCCCTGCTGCCTCCCAGCAGCCAATGGGGGGGCTGGTGTGGGACTACCTGGGCACGTGAGTGGCTGGAGGCCCTGTCAGTCAGTTAGACAGATGCACGACAAAACTCACTTTGCTTGTCGGAGGACGGGGTATGAGAGCACTATGAGAGCAACCAGTCCCATGTGGAAAAGTTATTTGGAGTTAAATGCTTCAGTAATTCGTTTGTGCCTCAATTTGTCCCATTTGACACTGAACCTCGAACCATGACAGATGATCATAGATGAAAGGCATGTAGTGGATTCATATGCGCATGGGTCAGAGGTTCCTACATTCAGATTAATATGTTGTCTGACAGCATCTGACGAATACAATACGTAACACTGAACAATCATTTCAGTCATTTTCTTGCAAAATACCAAAAAAAAGTAAGAATTCCTTTCCTTTGAATTCACATAAAACGAGCAATAAGGCATGTCACTTTCGGTTAAGTTTGTTTTCAATAGCCAGACGCCCATAAATAACTGGTTACTAACTGCTTAATTTTTACCAAAAAAAGGCTAAATGAAATGATGGAAAATACAAGAGGCCTTTCTTTTTAGTCTGGCACTCCATTGACTCAGTGAACTTTAGGCACTAGCCATTTACAGGTGGTGAAATTTTAATGTTTTGTGATATAAATGTATTGCCTTTTATTTTATTTTCTGTTGGCTTTGCTGACAAACAGATGGCTAGCCGTGTTAATATGCAGAAACACAGTGCCCACGGCCCACCCTCCGGTCTCCACTGGTTAGCTAACATTAACCTTGGCCACTCAGCACTACACACCACCCAGGTCTGGTGAAAGCTAGCTAGTGGCACCACTTTTTTGGGGATTACTGCAAGTAACGCCATCTGGTGGCAGGATGGTGTTGCTGTGTGAACGTGGTGGCTACCCTACCTATATAGCCCAGGTGAGTAAGTGGCTTCATTTTCAGCAGCAAGACCTCTTTACCGTAGTTAACCATGTTAGCACAGCTAGTCGTGCTGACACTGCTAACTGTGCTAACAGAGCTAACAGTGCTGACATAGTTAACAATGCCACAGGAGGTTTGCAACTCAAAATGTAGCTGCTTTCTCACTAGGGCAACCTGTGGGGAGACCTGATGGATGGGCACAATATTTCTACAGCAACAGGTTGGGACGGTGTTACCAGTCGTAATCTCCGAATGAGCTACACTGCTTGCTAGCTCCCACCAGACCGGGTTGCGATAAAGTGAAGAATAGCAAAATTAACCTATAGACTGACATGTGTAACCAGTTAAAATAAAACTGTTGACACCCCCAATTTGAACAGGTCACATTGGGCTCAGAGAAATTATAATGCTTATTTTTCTCTGTTTTATGACATTTTATAGGCAACACAATTAATTAAATTCATTAGAAAATAATCAGCAGATGAACTGGTAATGGCCGCTAATTGCAGCATGTTAAAGAAAATAAAAAGACTGTGACTCGTCAAAGAGATTCTTCATGTTTTGAAAGCCTTTTCCACATGGGACAGAGCTGAGTATGTTCACTAATAATCGCCATCAAAGAGTTGCAGCATTGACTGAATCTTCGCCAAGCCTCTCTAGCACAGCTTTTTTGGACTGTTTGCCGAATGAAACAAATCCCCCTAAAGGTCAGTCATCGGCATGAGTTGTACTCTCATCAGCAGAAGTTTCTGTCGTCTGTTATATTGCAGCATGACAAGCCAAACTGCTCCCAAAAGTTTGTAAAATGAGGGCGCAGTTTGGCACCAGAGCCTCTGCTGTATAGCCTGAAACTCTTTGAGCCGCTGTTCCTGTCAATGATGCAACTCTTTCATTTAGTGGCTCTGTTTTCACGCTTCACTTTTGTTGTACTTTCAGCCAAGGATGCCTGACTCGCAGAGTTTAACCCACTCTTTTTTTCATTAGGAGTCTGGACAGTTCACTCCGTTTTTTGTACTTTTTCATGCTAATAGGAATGGTTTGTCTGTTTCTAACGACTTTTATACCTGTCTACGTTATTTTGCTTAACCTGTCTGTTTCTCACTCTTTATGTTTGTCTATGTAGATTATATCTACCTCTAGTCTTAACCTTAATCTGTCTTTTCTTTCTATCTGTATCTGATTATCTGTCAGCATGCATGCCTGCCTGCCTGCCTGCCTCTGTGTTTCCCCGTCTCCCTGAATATTTGTTTCATTCTGTTGTTCTGCCTGTGTGTCTGTTATGCGTATTTCGGTATGAAGAGGACTAAAAAAAACAGGGAAGTACCTTCTTTCACAAAAACCACCTCTTAAGTAGGGTCAGGTGTCTTTTTTCTAATGGCCACAGTAAAATCATGATTGAAATTAAAGCGGCAAACAGTGTTAAAGGGGCCAACTCACCTTCCAGTATGTCGGAGGTACTGGTGGGATGATGGTTGCAGCAGCTATGCATTTCACAATGCGAGTACGACTTTGGCATTGTTTCTTGTGAGCAGTTTGTGGCGCCAAAAATGAGGTATAATGAGGTATTTATTTTGTACTACTTTCTGTCTCCACTGTGTGGTGCTAGAGAACAAACACTAATAATATATTGCTGTATATCACCTGCAGACCACAGCATGTAAATTTCACGGAAATCGGATGATCTTTGTCACATAAGGCTAACTTCCTGTTGTCAGTAGGTGGCACTATGACTGTGACTCACCATGTTCATGTAGATGTCTTCAGGTCTGGTCTTTTATCCAGTATGTGAAATTTGGAGCAGATTGGACCATGTAATCTCAAGTTACAACAGTTCCTATGTCATACTGAAACATAAAAACTCGCTATGCACCACGGCAACACCGAAAACTGACGATTTTTTACCATAAAGCATCACCATGGTCAACATGCTAGGCGCAGTACATCAAAGTATAAAACATGTCGTTTTCTGTTACAAATAGGTAGCACTACGACTTTAAATCAATATTTGCACATACATGACTTCATGCCGGGACTCTCAAATGTGAAGTTAAGGGTTGATCTGATAATTGTGTTAAAAACCACTTCCTATTTCATGGCAAAACATGGAAATTAGACTCCTCGCCATGACCACACTGTTCAACGAGAACTCAAAAGGTTCACCGTTTAGCATCGCTAACATCCTTAGATTACAGACCAAATTTGAAGTCGATCTCGTGAAATCTCTTGGAGGAGTTAGTTAAGGACAACACCTGGAAATGGTTAAAATAAAAGCACTAAAATGAAAAGGAAATCCAAAATGGCTGACTTCCTTTTGGTTTAGGTGGCACCAAGAGCCTTGGGATTTTGCATGTGCCTCCCAATTTTTGTACATCTAGGTGAAACCTGCCAGGACTTCTTCATTGAAATTTTGTAGGGAGTGCTAACGAGCTATTTTGTCACAACCCAGCACAAGACCTACTGAGTATCAAATATTTCACTACTTCTGATGCGTGAGTTTTCAAGCACCTTTAGTTCCTCATAAGTGCGAATCTTTTTGTGAAATAATAAGAAACAGTTTCCAGTAGGGTCCTCGCAGCAGTCGGTGGTCCATGTACAAAGAGGTATATTTTAGTAAGACTAGTGAGAACAAAGTTTGTCTTCGAGGGTTAGACAGGTCAGAGCTGTCTGCGGTTATGAAAACTGGTCTGTCTGTGTGTTTTTACGCCTCTTGACGCCTTTGATTTCTGAACTATCGTATGCTCTCTGTCTGCGCCTTCTCTCTCTCTGCCTCTTTAATCTCTTCCTCCGGTTTCTTCCCTGGACACGATTTGTACCCACTCCCACTCTCTGTGTGTCTGTCTGTGGGTTTAGTAGTTTGACTGTAAGACTAATGGTTGTTAATGATTTTAGGGAGATTCAGTGTTTCCTCACTGTGTCTCCGTCTGGCCAGTAGAAATACTAGACTATTAATAATTCAGCACCTGCTGACTTCAAACTGGTGGGTTTAACTGTGTGTGTGTTGGGTGTGTGTGTGTGTGTGTGTGTGTGTGTGTGTGTCTGTCTGTCTGTCTGTCTGTGTGTGTGTGTCTGTGTGTGTTATTTAGTCTGCCAGTAGCCACAGATGCAGATTTACAACAGCTAGCTTTGTGGGCAACATCGTAGTGTAACTTAATAACCATTTAAAACAGCAAATGGATGAACATGTGGGACCTTACATCATATGTGTTTGAAAGATGTTTCATCCTCCCGGTGGATCACAATAAAACAAAATCTTCTCTGCATCTGATATTTAATATCTGAACTTTGCCTGCTGGTCTTAGGAAACAGGAGAGGTATTAAATCTAGGTTTAGTGTCATGTGTTTGAGAAGACTGTCTTGTAACAGTTAAATTAAGATAAAGTAGATTTTTATGAGAGAATTTAACTATCCTTTTACACACTGGCACATGCACAGTCATTACTGTGAAGTGTGCGGTTTGAATTGGTTATATTAGAGGGTGTAAGGAGGTATGATACTTTTTAAATCTTCACATTCAGTGGTTTCATTTAGCTGTTAGATGTATGATGAGGGAAACTATCCCTGGCTAATTTAAGGCTGTGGTTAAGTGTTGACATGGTGAAGCGCGGTCATAAAAAGGGCAGAACTGACTGTGTGCTCATTCCCGTCGCCATTAGTTACCGTTGCTACGCCTTTCAAGCTTTGAAGTCAACAGTGATGACCGTGACAGATTTACCACTCAAAATGTATTAGTAATTTTTGAAATAATAAGTCCCTGATTTCAGACGAAGGTAACCTCCCTGCAGATTTTGTCAGCCGTGGCTAGCTTGTTAATTAAGCTAGGGGAGGATCTGTGCCTGTCTTCGACTTGTTGACTGTCATCAGATGTTTTTGCAAGCAATGTTAGAGTCACAATATTGTTTGGAACACTAAAAGTCAAATGTCACATCTGCTCTCAAGTAATTCCACTTTAATAAAATCTGTATAGTTAAACATATATCATACAGATATAAAAACATAACCTTGACAAGTATGAGACATCAGTTTGTTTTTTTTAGCAGGCAGAGATTAGAGACTAAGTGCATGATGAGTGTCATGGTTCTGTTTTGCTCCTGATTGGTGCAATTTAAGATGTCATAATTGCTCTCAGGAGTTGTTTGAACACCTTGTTTTTAGCAAGCCCCAAGAAACAGTGCCAGGCTTTGAAGCCAATTTTAAATAGTGGCCAAACATGGAATTACAACATCACGTGATGCTTTTGCGCTCAAAAAAACATTTTCCCCATTGACGTATATGGTGAAAGAGATGTTTGTAAATCAGTGGATTTTTGAGCGTCACAGCCCCACAAAATGACTCGTTTCACTGTCGGGATTTGATGCATTCTTTCTTGTAACATTTCTTAAGTCTAGAAGAGACGCATGATTAAATCAATTTACCCCCATTAAAGTTAGCGGAGCGTTAAACCGGAAGGTAGCCACTCGGCTGCCGTAAGTGTCTAGTGCACCTGCTCTGTGGGCCCCAGGATGTGAAAGATCCAGATAATTTTATAATGTGAAAAATGTGACATGCACCATTGAGCATTTTTCATAGGAGTAGACAAGGCCCTGCCTCCAAAGCTGTATCCAGTTCTCTTAATAAATCAATAGTATCTGACCGAATGTTGCCATTGTTTAAAACTAAAATCTTGTAAAAGGGTCTTAAATATGCACTTAATAGAAGAAAAATGTAAGGTCAGAATGTTTTCATATAACTGTTTTCATATTCTACTGTAGGTAGGCTACTAAGGCAGTTCTTTGGCTGTTAATTGCAGCTTAGATCCTGTGTCAACAAAGTGTTTTCTATCAGTGCCTGTATCTTTTTTCAACTGTTCGCGGTGCGGCTGCCTAGAGAAAAGCCGCTGTGTCTAGCATCTTTTTTCAAAGCAGTCCCCCTTTTTTGTGCAGGCGCTTTGAGGGCTTTTTGTTAAAAATTTCTGAACTTGTCAGAAAGGCGCTGGCGTCACCACTGCCAATTTTTTAGCCAGGCTACTGTCACAGCAAGACAGAAAAGCCCATTTGTGCGAGCAGAACTGCCGGAGGATGCTGGATGTTGCTGGCTAGTGTTGTGCTTTTATTACTGTACCGTTGTAAGTCTGTTAACTGTGTATTCAATCAAATGTTAATGAAGCATTGCATTAGCTACCTAGCTAATGTTAATGTCAAGATAATGTTGTCATAGAAACAAAACCCATGCACAGCACGTCATTAAAAACAGCACTGGGATGAAGTGCTCCCCAGCGCCCTACTACCGCTGACGAAAAACGCTATGTGGACACAGGCCCTACTTTGGAACAGACACACACAGTTTAATAATACATTTTTTAAACGTAGGCTCCTGTGTTTTGGGTTTTGGGAAGCCTATGAAAAAAAACAAACCCCAAAAATTTTAACTACAGTGCTATTCCATACATAGAAGACTCCATATCTGCGCTAATTGCGGTTGCTAAGCTATGACAGGAATTTAGCAAATGGAGAATCTCTATGATCTTTATTTTTCCTCGTGTTACTTCTTACTGCTGCCTCTACTGAAACTACTGTTAAGGTACCGCTGAGACATTTCAACCCAGCGGCTCTTTTCTTGGCTGCTTACAGATGTCGGTAACTGTAAAAATATTTGGAAAGCCACGGATTAACAAACGTCCCCTGTTTGAGATAATAACATATTCAGCAACTCGGCTGTTTTGAACCCGCAAGCACTGACCCTGTAACATAACATGTACTAATACTGACTTTGTCCCAGGGCTACCAAACCCTGCTGTGAATTATAAGACTTAGCCTGGAGCTAACAGGTACGTCAGAGGAGGATACATTCGCCTGTGGCCAACTCTTAGCTTGGCACCAAGGCTAACCCTGGGCTATGAGTGAGCAGCGGGAACATTACTAATGAAAAGATCAGATGTGGGTTAAACAAGGGTAAAAATCAACCATCTGTGTGTCTCTCTTTCTCCCCCCTCTAGTTTAAATCCAGCTGTAATGGTACCAGGTTATTTATTTCAGTAACTAAGATGGTAATTGGAGCAGACTGAGTGACTTCACACTGAGGGGAAATGGAGCTGAAAATCTGCCCTGATGGCCAAAATAAAGGATTTGGATGGAAGAGTGGAAAACAGAGTGAGGGAAAGAAGGAGGAAGGGGAAAGGAAGGTGGTGGCAGAGGGAGAAAAACAGGGAGGCAGAAATGAAATAACGGGTGGAGGCACAGAGGGAGAAAGAACAGAACAGACAACATAGAGGAGAGAGGGAAACAGAAAATGAAACTGACAGAAAAGACTGGAAAGGGGAGAAAAGGGGAGAAAAATGGAGGAGGTTGAGAGTGATGTAGAGTATAAACCTGAGTAATGGGAAATTAGAGAAGTTTATTGCGTGTTATATTGTTCTGTAATGGACAATTTGTCTCTGGCACGCCGTCATTAGCATGCGTTCCCAGGCATAAGCTCACCCTGGAGGTCGGGCTGTGCCAGTTCAACCAAACACACGAGGAGTGATCGTGTGGAATTATTTTGAGGTCAACCAATTGAGGAAGTGAATTTTTCTCCAGATTTCATATCTTAACGATTGCATAGCATATGCCTTTCGGCGGAGACCACAAATCCACGAGCTGCGTGCTTTTCAAGCGGCCCCTGGGGGAAGGGAAAGAAGTCCTCTGCGATATGAAAACCATTGAAGGAGAAATAATTCATAGTGAGCACGCTCATGCTTTGATTGGCTAATTGCTCGCTTTCTATGGCTTGTGTTTGCGGTTTTGTCTCCCTGTGTGCCCTTGATGTCATGTGAGGTGAGCAGGCCTCTCTTAACCCCACCGAAAAAAGACGAGCTGCTTGCGTTTAACCTGTTAATGTGACCGTGTGTGTGCCTGCCTGGCTGTTTGCTTGGTCATGCCTGTCTCTGTGTTTATGTGCCCGCTCTGTTGCTATGGTTAATTATGTCTCTCTGGCTGTCTCTCTGTCAGCTCCTCTGTCTCTCATCTCTTTTGTCTTTGAAGAGTGATCAAGCTGGCTAACCTAGCACTCAACTCCTGTCTCACCTTTCCCTCTCCTTCCCTGTCTCTCTTTCCCTTTCTTTTATCTTTACAATGCAACGCCGTCTCCCGCTCTACCCAGTCTTGCCTCAAGGTTAGTACCACACGCCTATTTTTCTCCCTCCGTCACTGTCTCCCTGTCTCTCATCGTGCTCTCCTTCAGTGTCACACTTCTTGTCCTTGCATCGAGACACTCTCTCATCTCCTTCACTCTGTCATAAACTCTGTTTTTAATCATTCTCATCATGTCTGTCTGTCTTTGAAGGAGACACCTTGACTTTCACTCCGCTCCCTTCCTCTGTCACATCACTGCCTCTTTGAAGAGGAAGCATTATTGGTTCTTTCTTGCACTCCTCCATTACAGTCCTGTCACGATACTCGCACCAAGTTCAAATTTCAGGCTACCACAGCAAACAATAAAAATGTTCAAGCACTGTATCGCCATCATTAAGTTGGACAGCTGTGAACTTTTGCTCAGAGTTCCTCTTACTTCTGCTTAGGTTTCTGTCTTTGTGGCTTTTATAGAGAAATCACTCCACATTTTGTTCCTGTCATACTTTTGTTAAACAGTTTGGACAGTGTTTTAAATGTTCAACCAAGGTTACACAATCTTTTATGGTCTGATTGTGTTGCCAGGCAATCAGGGGAGACACCAGGAAGTCGCTGCTCCTAGCCAAGAAATAGTTCGGCAAATAACTGCCTGTAAACCACGACTTGTGGTCACACTTGGGTTTTTGAACAGATTAAACAAACAAGATGTAACGTGTTCGTGAGTGAACTTTGCTAGTAGGTGGACTTTTTTTTTTTTTTTTTTTTACAAGTGATGGGCTGATTCTTTTAAAAGTATTGGGCCTTCAAGCTGATACATGTAAATATTTCGAACCTTAGAGTTTTGTGACATTTTTTCAAAATATGATGTCAGTTTCTTCGTGACACTGATATAGCCTTGTTCACAGTCAACAGCTAGAGCTGATGGCTGATATTCACCTTGTTGACTGCTATGGACAAACTAAATGGCATTAACCGATGGCGGTGGTCGATGTTTTTCCATTTTCAATTTTGAACAGGCTAAAAAGCAGGGCTCGAGACTGACGGTGTCCCTTCGTCCCGGGGACAGCAGAGCACATACTTGGAACGAACAGAGATTTTCCCTTGGATACCGTTGGGATGAAAGGATGCAGTAAACTCACTATCAGCACATCAGGGACTCTATTGCTTCCTTGATAATGCTATGTTGTGAACAACAAGTCTGTGTTGACATTGGCAGAAGGAGAGCTAGTTAACGTCAGCTGTTAGCTGTTAGCAGCTAGTGGCTGATACTAACTGCTGATGGAGGTCGTAATGAGTTGCATTATGTTGCGTCCAAGCTGTTAGGTGAAGGCAAATTATCATGTTCTCATGATGTGTTCAAATGTCATCTTGTAAAAGGCAGTTTTTGGCAAAAAAAAATGTTGATGTCTTCACAGCAATATACAATAGATATATTAGGATAGGATAGGATTTTTTTTAACAAAGATTTCTTTGTTTCTCCAGCACAAAAGGGGGAACAAATAACAACAAAAACAAAATTAGCAACAACAACAAAACATCTATATCAGCTACATCGTTAATTTAAACATCGGTATCAGTATCAGCCCACACACAATCAGTGCATCCCGAAAAATACTTATTTTAATGCAATGATTCAGCATCCAACTCGTACAGTAGGCTATGTAAATTCAATATGATGTCACAGAAATGTCACTGACAAACGATCTGTCGATCTTTGAGGGGCAAGTAGCAGACGCCCCAGCGTCCTCTGCAACCTTGTGCTGCGTTTATATAGTGTTGGAATGATCTAAAAATTAGTTCCTATTCATATATCATGGCTCACCTGATCAATTTCCTTTGCTCTTCGTTATCAATGTGTTGTTTTAGCACTCTGATCATACGACACATCTCCTTTATAGCAGCCATGTTGTTTCCACATTCCAACTTAAAGCTCATGATCACACCTTAGTCAGAGGAAATACCATGCGAGGAGCATGTGAATACACTATTGGCCTTTGCTGGCAGAGGTCTTGACTCAAGTCAGATTCAGTCGCTTCTCATTTACTTACCATAGCAGGCAGCGTGAGCAAGTACCTGACGATAACAGTGAGTGGGCGAGTGGAAGGTTGGGACACTAAAAAAGTTGTGCAAAAAGATTTGTTTATTTCCCCCCCATCACTATTTTTCATCTGTGGACACGACCAGACTAGCTGTTTCCCCCTGTTTCCATTCTTTATGCTAAGCTAGGCTAACTGGCTCCATATTTAATGGACAGTTATCATCTTACTTTTGTCAAGAAGGTGAATATGTCCAACTATTTCTTTAAGTGTGTCACGTTAAGCATTGTCCATATCCCGAGATTCAAAAAGTCCCACGTCTTCTTCTTTTCTGACTTTTAAATATTCCTATCTGCACTCGAGAGGTGACTCCGTAATGAGATTTCAGCCTGCAGAACCCAAAAGTCTGAATTTTGTCTTTTTTAACAGACACATCAAAATCACATTGAAATTTCTCTGACCTACACATTGTGATCGACCACATAATAACCACTTCTCCCTTCTGTTTCCTGCATAAATCTGGTGGTCTGAGTGTTTTGAGCACTCTGCTGTGCTGTATAGGTCTCCCCAGCGCCAGCTCCTTCTCTGCTCTCTCTTTCCTTTTCAACTCGCACAGCCACTGTTCCCCCTGCCGTCTTGTCAGCTTTTTCATCGCTGTTGTTCTGGTGTTTTGTGATTCAACTCTAGAGGGGGAAAGAAACAAAAGAAAAAGTTAGCATTGCCTTGCTGTCTGGTAGACGACAGAAGACTTCTTTTTCTTCTTCTGTCCTTTTTTTTTCTCTCCTCATCTTGTCTTTTTTTTTCTGGTTGTTTTGATCTTGCGCTAAGGAACTCCTCATCCACTGCCAAATGTCTGACATCAAGGTCTCTGTAGCTTTAAAAGGAATTGCATTGTTTCTCTATGTGTGTGTGTGTGTGTGTGATCCCTTTGAGGTCCCGTATGACTCTGAGCATTGAGGTGGTGCAGGGATTTGTCAGCTAATGGGTGACAACAAGCAGGCACACACACACACACACACACACACACACACACACTATCACAGACCCATGTGCACTTTTTTTCCTGTCTCCTACACACACACAAACACACATGCAAGAAATACTTTGCCAGCTAATAGGTGACAACACTACAGTGGGGATGACTGCTGAGAGTCATCTAATTAAAATACCTGCATGCACACACTGTTCCCAGCACTGGGGGAAAATGAAAAACACTTTTTGTTTACAGCTTTGTTTACAGAAAATAGACAAATCTACAGTTCAGTAAATTATGCTTTCTCATCCTGTTATATTTTGCTTTGTTGTAGTATTATAATATTAATCCTGGTGTTTTGCTGCTTCACTTCCTTGCTGTTTGGGATCTAACAGACACAGAGTGCAACATCAACCATTTTTTCTCCTTTGCATATTTTTTTTTATTTTCCTCTGACACTATTAAACCTCAATATGCAGCAAGAATTAAACTGGGAACACTTTGCTTTGCCACAAACTGAGCTTACCTTCATGGTGGTTACATAAATGGCGTTAATAGGACAGATATGCTTTACATTTTAAATGAGCGATGCATTAATACATACACATACATAATACATACAATGTAATGCAAACAAACTGGCATTTAGATAGACTTATTTGGGATTACTGTCAATACTAAAGCTGCAGCAAGTAGTTGATTAATTGATCAGCAGCCATTTTTACAGTCAATCAGTCGTTTTCGTAATTTTTCAACCCAGTCAAGACAAATGTTGGCACTGTACATTTCAATCAGGAGAGACAGAAGAATGAAATAAAGATAAAGTGCAATGCAAATTATAAGTGCACCGATTAACAGATGATTTATGCTGATAAGATTTAACACAAGTCTTTGGCGCTTGGACACCAGCGGGAGATTTTTTGTGATCGTAGGACATCTGAGCGGCAGTAAGATAAATCTGCTCATGGAGTGCAGACACTGGTGGAGGTGGAGATGGAGGTGGTGGTGGCTCCTGACTTTGGTTGATGACTGCTGAAGTGAATAGAGGCTGCATCTGAGAAGGCTAGGTGGTGATGGGAAGGTGGAGGGTACGGCATGAAAGGAGCAGTGAGATGATAGGCTGACTGAGAAGGTGTGTCCATGTGCTACGGGTTGATTGTGGATCAGCTGTAGATCAGCTGATGTCTCGATTGACATCCCTGAACACTGACAGCCAGAGACAGAGCGTGAGCATGCGTGCAAGGAGTGAATGGCAGGGTGAGGAAGAAAGTTACAGCCTAAGCATGAAAAGGTATCATCTTCCTGATTGCACTTTCGCTAGAGCTTCATTTCTACAAACCATGGATATGCTACATTTGTACATTTCATATGTAGCAGATGTGTTGAAACTTTACAATTCTTTACTTTTCAGTCTTCAATTTTATGTTGTCACAACGTTGTGGCACGCCTGGGGCCAGCCCCTGCCTGGGCGCTAGTGTGCCAATACCGTGCGAGGTGCTCAAGGTCCGAAAAGTCCATTTCCTTAAAGTTTTCTATGGTCATGAGCTTTGGGTAGTGACAGAAAGAATGAGATCGCAGATATAAGCAGCTGAAATGAGTTTCCTCTGTGGGGTGTCTGGGTTCAGCCTTAGAGATAGGTTAAGGAGCTCAGACATCCAGAGGGAGCTCGGAGTAGAGTCGCTGCTCCTTTGTGTCAAAAGGGGTCAGTTGAGGTAGTTCGGGCATCTGATAAGGATGCCTCCTGGGCAGACCCAGAACACGCTGGAGGGATTACATATCTCATCTGGTCTGGGAACACCCTGGAGTCCCCCAGGAGGAGCTGGAAAGCGTTGCTGGGGAGAGGGATGTCTGGGGTGCTTTGCTTGGCCTGCTGCCTCCGTGACCCAGCCCTGGATAAGCGGATGAAAATGGATGGATGGATGCATGGATGGATGGATGGATGGATGGATGGATGGATGGATGGACAATGCTGTGGTTAATGTGTGGTTGTATTTAAGCACAAAAAACATATGGTAGGGGTCATGCAAAGATCAT